CCTTTAAGCTCACCTTAAAATAATATGAAATCTTTAAAAATTACAGCAGTGTAAAACCACAGACCAGCAACAAACTGTAAATTTATAATATTATGGATTTAAAAGTACAAGTCAGTATGCCTGTGAAGTAATATATTAGCGTAGCCAGACAGTGTGAACACATGGAGAACCATATCTCAGTGTGCAATGATCTGATTGACTTGAAATTACAGGAGGTATGTAGTAACAAACGCATTAATTGTTTAAGACATCAATAAATTATTTTGTCTTTTTATAATCTGAGCTCAAATATGGAAGTGTGCTTAATGGGTACGTGAGCTTAATAGGTACGTTTACCCCTACATGAAATGAGAGAAAGATTCTGAAAACTTCTTGCATTAACTTCTTGTTTCAAGATCTCCATGTTACTTTATTATTAGTCTCGCGTAGCTAGACCTTCAGACTGGCAGCAGAAGGAACTTGACATATTTCACATACCTTTGAAAATCCAGCATTCAGTTGATCCTGATAAGCACTCATTGTCACAGTTGTAAACATGACGGCTTTCTTCTAACATAAGGGATTTGGCATCACGGCATCGTTGTTTCCAAGTGGAATGTTAAAGAACGCGACACACACTTCTCCCAGAAATCCTGTATAATTCAACCAATCCGTTGACGACTTCGAAACTCCTGAAGTGTTTCCAATTTTGTGTGCCATACGCACCAGACGTTCAGCCAACGGTCCGTGGGCGTGACGGCTGAGGCTGAGACTACTTTATTATGGCACCACAGTACTAAAATAACTGTAATAACTATGGTATGGCAGTTGGTTTTATAGAGGTTACATTGTTACATTATGTTCTGAACAGTGACTGGGACGCAGCCATGTCAGAAGGTAGAGCAGACTGAAAGGTCTCCACCGGAACAGGAATGCAGCTTGAAGAAATGCCACGAGGTTTACCAACTGCCTCGTGAGTTTGTGAACAACAGACATATGGTTTTCTAAAGGTTTTATGTATGTTTGAAAAAAAAATTTCCCATGTGAAACAAATTTTTTTCTTCACTTCAGTGTTTTCTTGTTTCCCCACCTAAATGTCTGTGTGCAGAGCGTCTGTGCATTGATTGTGGCAAGGGCTGGCTGAGGTTTGAGAATACTTGTTACTTCCTGTCTCAAAACCGTTTCTCCTGGCAGCAGAGCAGGGAGGAGTGCCAGAGGATGGGAGGAGATCTTGCTGTCATCACTAATGAACGTGTACAGGTCAGTAAATCAGTAAATACGGTGAAATTAAAACTAATAGAACTGATTCGCATATTAGTGTATTCATATGCTTTTTGGCAATATCTCTTCTCTGCAGATGTATCTGAGTAGGAAAGGGAGTTTGCACTACTGGATTGGGCTAAGTCATTTGGGGACAAATGAATGGACATGGATTAACAACACTGCATTGACAGTGAGGTGGGAAAATAATGATGGTTCAAATGGGACCAGTAAAAAAAAAGTGTTTTTTGAAGTGCCTCTTTGGGTCTGTTTACTACATTTTTAAGCTGTTTGTAACCATAAAATGGGCAAACAATTTCTAATGTTTTTTCACATTTTTTACACTTTACCCCCCTTTTTTTTTTTTTAAATAATCACATTGTTAAAAAAAAAAAAAAAGATAATTATTTTTAAATTGCTGATGTGTTTTTTAGACCAAAAAAATGTCATACATTTTTTCTCCCTCTGATTCTGGACAAAAACAAAATAAGTCAATAATTTTGAAAAAGAAAACTGAATATTTAAAATAAAGAGGGGAAAATGTGAAAAATCTTTGGGAATTTTTGCCTAGTTTTTGTTGTTAAAAGCAGAAAAAAATGTACATAAAATAAGAAATAAACGCAGGGAGGCACTTGCAAAAAAAAACAAAAAAAAAGTTACAAATACAAGCAAGTATCGTAAAATGAAAATATTTAAATGTGGTTTAGTAGCTACTGACTGACTGTGGTTCTTATGCACACACATAGATATTGGGGAAACCATTCCTTTCCTGGAGAGTGTGCCATCCTGGCTGGAAATGAACCACCTGAACGGAGCTGGCACCCATCTTCCTGCAGTTTATACTTGCAGTACATCTGTCAGAAGATGTAGATGTCCGAACATCATCTAAACCCACTGAAATCACCTATATATATGGATATCATAACTCAACAAATACTCAAGATAATCATCTTTTCTCTAAAGATTCTAGTCAGAAATAGGGACGTTTGGGCTATCAACACAGCGTAAAGCTTTTTTTGTAGAACGTGCATTATGAAGCATTATAGATGCAGTATAAAGCAGTTTTAGAAATTGTCCCGTTTATTTGCATTACAGCTGCACTTATTTCTAAATGTACTGATCATTTACACAAAGTTTATTTGCACTAAATATGTCTAATGTTCACACGATGTACTGAACTGCACATACTTTCTCTTTAAAATGTCTCTTTTGTATTGCTTAATTAAAAATACACCTTTACATTTAACAATATTGATGGTGCACAGTTCAGCTTTGTCTACCCAGTACAACACATATATTTGTATATTAAAACACACATAAATAACTCAGAATAATTTAACAGGAACCCTTTAAATATTAGGAATGTCATTTTTAGATATACTTGATATCTGGGCAATCCACATTTTCTTCCTTTTCACATTCTATACTCTGCCGAATGAGCTGCCAGCATTTTATTGGTCTTCTCTGGATTCTAGGCCTCTTTTTCACAATAAAATTGGTCTGCAGTGGATCATTTCCAGGGTCATTCTTGCCTGTTTCCTCCCTCTCCTTAGCTGGTTCTCCATCCTTTGAGAATGCATTAATGTAGCGTTTCATCTTTTGCACCAATGGGTCATTGCGATCCTCCACTCTGGAATCACGAGATATTGTAAAGAAATAAGTCTAATCAAATTGAGAGTGTTTCGTGATGCTTTTTCAAGGTATCCTTACCGAAGGTACCAGCGTTCTCCAAGGCCAACCGCCAGACCACAGATGCCCAGTCTTGGCCACAGGTGCAGTGGTAACTTCCGTTCAAGCATCAGAGTAGTGGCCACCACCTATGATCAGAGAAACTGATGTTTACCCAGCATGCTTTTAGAACAATTACTGTGGGATTGTACTAGCTACACTACCAACCTGGGTCCTCCAGAGTTCATCACGTTCCTGGGTGACCCTCCACTGTGTGTCGCTCATCATGGCGATCAGGAGGTTGAACAGGAGGATGTAAGCGACCACACTGAAGTAGATGTGGACAGAGTGCACGACTGGATGGGTGTACAACATATGGTCCACTGGCAAATCTATCAGACCAATGCTCAGCTCAAACTGAGTGAAAATGGTGATGGGGAATGAGCGGTATGGCGGTAAAGCCGAAGGATCTTGGGTTATGTAATAGACCCACAAGCCTGAGGAAGGAGACATTATTTACATTACAGATTTGCATATGATATGAGTTTCTTTTGATACAACTGTATTTGAACTAACCAGCAGATGATCCAGTAAGGAAGATAAGGGACAACCACATGAACTTTGTCATATCTCCAAATATTGTCTGCAAAAGAACATCCACACATGTACATTATAAAGCTATACTGGGTCTACAAACCGACAAGAATGAGCAGCTGCCTCAGCAAAACCCTCCACCTTCTGAATCACAATGACATAGGGTCCCAGCATCTCAAAACCTCGGGCGAAGTACATAACATTGGACCAGCCAAGAACCAAAGCCCAAGCCATTGGCACAATCTCTTCTGCCATTCCAGTGGTCCGCAGCACACACAAAATCACAACCAGACTCGCGTAGCCAATTCTGCCACAGAAATACAAGGAAATGAAGCGTGAGTGAATGCATGCAGTCAAACATTTTTCATTCAACATGATAATGCAGATTCAAATGTTTTGATGTCAAAGACCCGCCTATAGAGTGGTGCAGGTATGACGTCAGAACTGGCAAGACTAATTCGCCGCTTGTTCCTTTTTGATTTTCCTGTTGACTTGGTTGGTGTCTCGTCATAGCTGTGGGTGTGGTGTTGGGGGAAACGATCCTTTCCCCTGTACTGGAAAAGCATGGTGTTAACCCAGTGTGGCCTACACAGAATCACTTCTGCCGCTCGACAGAGCAAGATACGTAGAAAAACTGAGCCGTATTAGGTCAGACCCAACGGAATGGCCAGAGGTGTTATTTTTTGTGATTAAGTCTCCAGGTAAGAGACAGCTAACTGCAAGCCCATACATATGTGACAGCTTGTGAAAGTAAACATTTGTCATTTTGTTTTGCATAATTTTAATAAAGTGATAAAGACCAGGGAAAAGCCTACTTTTTATTGGTATATTAAAAAGACTTTTAACTTTGACAAAACATAGGTAACATTACATAAACATAGCCTAATCATTTTCACAAATATATGTAGTAAAATAAAGAAGATATAAAATAATATGAAAGTATGTCTTAAGAAAATTAACCATGGTTTTACTACAGATAAAACAACAACAACAACAACACGTTTACTACAGTTAAACCATGGTAACCACAAATTTACCATGGTTTTGCTACACTAACCATAGTTTAACCATTGTATTTGTAGTAAAAATGTGGTTATATAAATGGTAATCAATATGCCAAAAAATCAATATGGTTACTATAATTTCCCTATAGTAAAACCATGGTTAATGAATTAAAAGTTTTAATAGGTTATGACATTTACATCACAAAATATTAGGGAACGACCTTCATTTATTTTGTTGTGATGTGAAGCCCCATCAGAGCTGGGTTGTGGTGCAGGAGGACGGGACTGTAATGGCAGGTCATTGTGACTGCATGGCAGGGTAAGTGTAGCCTATCTGGAGTGCACATGAATATGAATATTAAGCTTGATATGTTTCAAACATTGTATTTCCACAACTACTGTTCTCCTTGCCGGCTCCGTCTGATTATTTGGCAGTATATAAAACTTCAGATGTGTTTTTTTTTAACTTATTAGAGGTGCAGAACGCCACACAGCAACTTTTTGGCATTGCACCAAGCAAAAATCAATTGTAATCATTACTAAGAGTAAAGATCAAGTGCCTAACAAGGTCTCCGCGTGTTAATTTGAATAGTTTGTTTTCCCCCACGGCATAAACGGATATGACGTTTTCGTGGGTGTTCTCAGTAATGCCGACCAAGCCTGTTGGGTTTTTAAAATAAAAAAAAATAAAATAAAATTATGAGTAAAATAAAGCCTGTTTTAAACATAACTTGATGATACTTTGACGTTTTGTTCTACAAACTGCACACCCTCACACTTTTATAGTTATTTATTAGTAAAAAAAATTCAAAAATAAACATAACTGCTTTAAAATTCATGTTTTCATTATGGGTGTGTGCAGTTTACGTTGTAGAACAAAATGTCATCATCAAGTTATGTTTACCACAGGCTTGCCGGTTCTGATGTCATACCTGCACCACTCTATATGTCCCCTAGCGAGCAACCCCCTTCCTATAATATAAAGTTAACCTGAAAAAACTAATGTTTCAGCACAACTGTTTTTAACATTGATAAAAATAAAAATGTTTAATGAGCACCAAATCAGCATATTAGAATGATTCCTGAAGAATTATGTGACACTGAAGACTGAATAACTGCTGAAAAGTTAGCTTTGCCATCACAGAAATAAATTACATTTTAAAATATGTCAAAATAGAAAATAGAAACAGTGAATTTAAAACTCTCTCTATATATATATATATATAAAGAACTTACAAAGTAATATGGAAGGGTCCTCCTAGGGCAGACTGGCCAAAATAGCGTTTAGCTCCCACTCTCAAAATACTGGGAACCTGAAAATAATTCATGATAAGGAGTGTTTTGGCATAATACCAATAATATTTGACTAGTTATAACATAATGTTTCTAATGTCAGAAAAAGTTTTGCTGACCTCTATCAGCAGAATAACGATGGCTCCTATGACACTGATAATTTCTCCAATTAAACGCAGGTGATCTTTATAGGTCTGATAGCTCTCCTAAACATACAAAAAATCATTAAGTTCCTGCAGATATAAAAGTGATTTGATATACAGAAACATAAAAATATTGTTTCACACCGAAAAGCTTTTCTGCACTTTTATGGTTTGGTCGTTGTCTGCTTTGGTGTAATTCTCAGGAATGTCCTTTAGAGGGCGGTTTATACAACACAACGTGAATATGCTAATATACAGCAGGTACACCAGCATCAATAACCTGCAAACAGATCAATAGAGCAACATCGTCAGAGTAGCTGAAATCATAAACATCGTTTCATAGCACATCACTGCTTTCAAAGTGAAATATGTTCTGTGTAATATGTGTATAAAATCTGAAAAAATGCTAAATATGTGGAAAAACTTGAAGCTTTTGAAGAGTCAGCTGAAGAAAAACAGGTACAACAGGGACAACATATCATAATGTTCCTTTAAACCTCCATATCATATTAAACTACATTTTAAACATTATATCAACTCTTTTTGTTTATGATATTACATTTAGACCCAGATTATATATCTATTACATATAAAAGATAAATATATAATATAATATTTTTCACCATAAAATGTAATTCATTGACCTAAAAACAGACAAGCTAGTTGCCTTCGATTTTCTTTGTACTTTTTTTTAATTAAGAAATCGGGGTTAGTTCACCCCAAAATGAAAATTAGCCCATAAATGACTCACCCTCAAGTCATCCTAAGGTGTATATGACTTTCTTCTTTCAGACGAATCCAGTTGGAGTTATATTAAAAATGGTCTTTGATCTTTCAAGCTGTTTCATGCCACTCAGCGGGTGTTGCATGCATCAGTCCAAAAGAAATTACATAAAAAGCACCCATCCATAAAAAAAAAGTGTCTCACGTAGCGAATCGATGCGTTTTTGTAAGAAAAATATCCATATTCAAAACGTAATAATCACTTTAATGTAACTTGCGCCAACAGTCCTACACGGAAGCAGTTCCGGGCGGATGATGTATGGAGATCGGCTTTGCGCATGCGCCGCTCAGAAGTTACGTACGCAGAAGCGCAGGGGAGAGATTAAAACAAAACACCGGTCACTTATTAGAAGTACAAAACGAGGATTTGTAAAGAAGAATGTCGGAGGATTTCGATATAAGCCAA